GGGGTTCTAGTCCCGGTCAGGGCGCCGGATTCTGTCCCGGTTGCCCCCTCTTCCAGCACTCTGCTGTGACCAGGGAGTGCAGTGGAGGGTGGCCCAAATACTTGGGCCCTGCACCCCATGGGAGACCAGGATAAGTACCTGGCTCCTGGCTTTGGATCAGCGCGGTGCGCTGGCCGCAGCGCGCCAGCTGTGGCGGCCATTGGAGGGTGAACCAACGGCAAAAAGGAAGACCTTTCTCTCTGTCTCTCTCTCTCACTGTCCACTCTGCCTGTCAAAAAAAAAAAAAAAAGTCTAAAAAAAATAAAATCTTAAAAAAAAAAGAAATGCAGAATCTGAGGCCCCACCTAGAATTATTGGAATCTGCATTTTAACAGACCCCTCAGTTGATATGAATGAGAAGCACTGTCCTAAGGAAATTCTTGAACATGCACCAGGAGAAGTGATCCGGAGTATTTACAGAGCCACAGATGACAACAGCAAAACTGGAAATAACACAAATGTCTAGTGAATAGAGAATGGAGGGGCTGGTGCCGTGGCTCACTTGGATAATCCTCTGCCTGCGGCACCAGTATCCCATATGGATGCTGGTTCTAGTCCCAGTTGCTCCTCTTCCAGTCTAGCTCTCTGCTGTGGCCCGGGAAGGCAGTGGAGGATGGCCCAGGTGCTTGGGCCCCTGCACTCGAATGGGAGACCAGGAGGAAGCACCTGGCTCCTGGCTTCGAATCGGTGCAGTGCCGGCCTGGTGGCCCTTTGGGGGGAACCAACAAAAGGAAGACCTTTCTGTCTCTCTCTCTCTGTCTCACTGTCTATAACTCTACTTGTCAAGTTAAAAAAGCAAAAAGAAAAAAGAGAATGGATACATAAACTTGCAATGTCCTAAAAACTGCTAGCAAAAAGATGCATACAGTTTGGTGCCATTTTTATAAGACTCAAATGCCAGCCAAAGTCAACAATATATTAGCATCGATCTATATATATGTATGTGTCATAAATTCTTTAGGAAACAAAGGAACAATAAACACACAATTCAGGATAAGGGTTATGGGGTTTGTGGGGAACAGGGACAGAGGAGGAACAGATAGTGACCTTTACCAGTAGAAAATGTTCCATTGTTCGGTGGTGGATTCAAGTGATTTTATTATTTCATTAGGTGTGACTTATCTCTATTATATTATTCCTTTGTATGTATACCATATAGCACAATTAAAAAAAAAGACTTTGGGGAGGAGGTCTCGCATTGTGGCACAGCAAGCTATGCTGCTGCCTGCAATGCTGGACCCCCATATCTGAGTGTTCATTTGAGTCTCAGTTGCTCTGCTTTTCATTCGGCTCTCTGCTAATGTGCCTAGGAAAGCAGCCAAGGATGGCCCACGTACTTGTGGGAGACCAGGACAGAGCTACAGGTTTTTCACTTGACTCAACCCTGGCTGACACAGCCATTTGGAGAGTGAAATAGTAGATGGAAGATCTCTCTCTCTCTCTCTCACTTTCCATCACCTTGCCTCTCAAGTGAATATGTACATTTTTGTAAATATGTATATATTTAAAGTTTATGTATTTGAGAGCCAGACAGACAAAAAAAGAGAGACACACTGAGGGAGAGTTCTATACACTGGTCTACTCTCCAAACCCCTGCAACAGCTGGAGTTGGACTGAGGCTGAAGCTAGGAGCCAGAAATTCAATGTAGGTCTCTCTTGTGAGTGGCAGGACCCCAACCACTTGAGCTTAGTAGCTTAGTGGCTTAGTGCTGCCTCCTGGTTCTGCATTAGCAGGAAGCTGAAGTCAGGAGTCTGAACCAGGTATTGAACCCAGGCACTTCAACATGGGACATGGCATCTTAACCTGTGGCTTGAGTGCTAGGTCTAATGCCTGCTCATTTAACACAATTTTTAGTAACTTTATGGAGTTATATTTTACATATCAAAAAAATTCACCTGTGTAAAGTATACAATTCAATGACTTGGTAACTGCATACTTATGTGACCATTATCACATTCTGGTGGTGGGAAATTTTCATCACCCCAAAAAACTCTCTCATCTCATTGTAATAACTACCCATTTGCATCGCCTATTCCCAGGCTAACCTATTTTCTAACACTAATCTTAGATCCAGTATTGTGGCATAGTGGGTAAGCGGACACCTGCGACACTGTCATCCCTTGTGGACACCAGTTTTGTGTCCCGGCTGCCTCACTTCCGATCCAGCTCTATTCTAATGTGCTTGGGAAAGTAGTGGGAGATGGCCCTAGTGCTTGGGTCCCTGCCACCCACGTGGGAGACCCAGATGACACTCTTGGCTTCTGCCTGTCCCAGCCTGTCTCTTGTGGCCATTTGGGGAGTGAATCAGCAAATGGAAGACCTCTCTCTGTTTCTCCTTCTCTCTCTGTAACTCTACCTCTCAAATAAACAAATCTTAAAAAACAAAAAAACTCATCTAATACTTAATAATAAAACTAATATAATCTCATTATACAACTAATATTTATTAGTACTACAGTACATAATACTCTTATGTAACTAAAACTAATTTGCTTTCTATTAATTAACCTTCTCTGGCGATTTCATTTAAATGGAATTCTGGGGACAGGTGTGTTTTGCAGTGGGTAAGATGCCTGTATCTTGAACTAGAGTGCCTGATTTTGATTACTGGCCCCTCTTCCCATCCAGCTTCCTGCTAATGTGCAGCCTGGAAAGCAGCAGGTGATGGCTTAATTACTTGGGTCACTGCTTCCCATGTGGAATTGGGTTGGACTGAGTTGGATTTAGTTGCAGGCTCCTGACCCAGCTCTGTTGTGGACATTTGGGATAGAAGATCTCAGTCTCTCTCTCTTTCTCTCTCTTTCAAATTAAATGAAAAATAAATTAGTTAACTACGTGGAATTGTGTAATAATGTGTGAACTTTGCATCTGGATTCTTTTACTTAGAGCCATATTTTTGAGGTTCATCCATGTTACAGCATATATCAGCACTTCAGTCATTTTAAAGGATGAATGATAGTCCACAACAGGGATGGACCACGCTTTGTTTATTCATTCATCTGTTGATGGACATTTGGGTTGTTTCTAGTTTTCAGCTAGTATGATGTTAAGATCAGTCATGTACAAGTCTCTATGTGGGCACATGTTTTCATTTGTCTTAGGTAGATATCTAAGAGTGGAACAGGTGGGTCATAATTTCTAATTTTTTTTTTTTTGGAGAAAAAGAAAAGATGGGATCGTCAGTTCTTTTGAGTTCAAGTGAAAGGATTAATTAGTAAATAGGTGCCACATCTCCTGATGCTAAAAAGAAAGATAGGGACACATACTATACTAAGTTTGGAAGTGGTAATCTATACTGAAGTAAAGAGATAGTAAAAGAAATAAGTAATCTAGTTTTTTTTTTTTAATAATCTCAGAAGCTGAATCAATACATACTTCTCCGAAAAGGTAGAGTTAAAGGGAAAGTTAGGAGGGAGACAGCTGTATAGCAGTCCTGGTAAGAAAAATAATTCACTTCAAAGGCCCAACTACTATTTTTTTATACCAATACATGCATGTGTGATTATCAAATCTATGAATAGTGCCCATACAATTTTTAAATTAAAGTTAAAAATTGATTTCTGCTCAGGATTTTTGTTAAAAGTAATCACTTATTGCTTACAGTAGTTTAGTGCACATACATTGAAAGGAAGCGAAGGCCAAAAACAAAACAAAACAAGCTTATTGGGGTATTAATCAGTGAATTTGTAAAATACCTGAGGTTTTGTTTCCAACCAGTAATCTTCAACGCTGAGGATTTATAGTAATGTTGCATATATAAAAAATGTTGAATTTTGTGTGTGTGTGTGTGTGTGTGTGTATAATTCCTTAGACATTTGTGCAGATTTTCATTCCCATACTATGGGACAAATGTCGTCCATCCTGGACATTTCTATAAATTGGTTTCCTATTTGTTCTGAGCAAGATTGCTTATTAAAGCAAGGTCTGATCTTTTTTTTTTACCGGTTCCACGACATTTTTTCAAAAGGCAAATAAATCAAGGGTATGTGCCACCCGTATAGGACTTCCGTTGCCAGGGCTTGTCTGTTGCATCTGACAGCATTCTATAAGAAGGGAAATCAATAGTGAAGACATGTTTATTTAAGACGTAAAGGAAACTTGCTCCTCTTTCATAGAATGTAAAATGAGAAGCAAATTTCAATAAGATCCAGAATATCCAAAAGGACTAAGAAATCCCAGTCATTGGGAAGCGCCACAGTACGGGCTGGTCAGACAACTCGCGGTTCCGAGCCTCGCTACAAAGTCGGGAAATTTACTGTTGTGTGTGATCAAGGCGGTTAAAACACAGCATGAAGACGGATGTTTTCCGCTTCAACCCCCGGGTGTTTTTTCAACACGACTTTCTCCAGATGAGTGCCCCTCCTTCGAATGCACTGATCGTTCTCGATTTCCCTCAATACTGGACTAAAACGATTCCTGCTGGTGCACTAGCGCTTGCACAGCAATACCTTGCCCAGCTGTAAGCTCTGAAATTACTTTTAGGTTGCCCTTCGCCGCTGCTTCTCCTGCTCCCTGACCGGTTCTCTCAGAGCCGTGTTCGCCACACTACCGGGTTTAGTGCAAGCCCCGCCTCCCTACTCCCTGATTGGCTGTTAAGTGGGAGGCTCGTTTCGTCGCTCCTCATTGGCCGCTCAGGGGGAGGAGCTTTTCCCATCTCCCTATTGGTTACCCTGTGGAGGCCACTCTTGCAGTTACGGCCCGGAGGTCATTTCCGGGAAGATGGCAGCAGCGCGTATGCTGAGGACCTGGAGCAAGAATGCCAGGCTGCTGGTAAGTAGGTTTGGGCCGACTGAGGCCGGGAAGGAGTGATTTGCCCATACTCATCCGGGAGTTTTGCGTTGCTTATTTTCTCCGCGTGCCCTGCGGACAGGGCGCGCGTGGAAAGGCGGAAGGATGCATGCAAAGAAAAAGCTTCTAGAGAAAGTGCACAGCCCACGGGTCTGAGACCCACTCCCTTCCCTTAGTGGCCGCAACTCGGTCGCCTTCCTGCTCTGCCCACGCCCGGAGGCCCAACTAGCGTTGCGTCTTCTAGCCTTTCCTGCGCACTCTCTGGGTGCCAGGCATTGTGGTAAGCGCTGGGAATGCAGCTATAATTCATTCAGCATTTATTGAGCACCCACAGTGTGCCAGCCACTGGCAATACGACCCCACCCTCAGGGAATTTACAGCCCAGAGAAAGAGAACGATCAAGCGAGTGTCCAAGGACCGAGGGAGACTTCAGGTTCATGGTCTTGGCTGTACTGTTCTCCTGTATCGTTCCAAACTTTCATTACCAGGTTGTGTTCCAACACCATCTCCCTGGTAGTTCCCCTCTTCCATGCTCTAAGCATCAAGCACAGACCCATGCCAGTAATGATAATTTCATCCTACTTGCCCAACGTTTTTCTTCCTGGACAGCTCCCTTTCCTTTCCTAAATGTTTCCGGGGAAGCCCACTCCTGATCTTTCCAGAACCTACTATGTACTGGTACTGTTCTAGGTTCTGGGGAGGCAAATGGGAGTGAGACAGAGGCTATCTCTTCCTTTCCCAGTGATTACAACTTTGTGGTGATCGACAGAGGAGAGGGAGACAGAGATAGACATCAAGTAATTAATTACGGCCCAGCATGATAAATTCTGTGATGGAACAAGTGCGTGGAGCTAAAGGAATACAAAGCAGTGGACACTTATGGTGCACTTGGGAGTCAGAGAGAAGGTTCCCAGAGGGAACTGTGTAACTTAAAATCATCGAAGGGTAAGTAGAAAATAACCAGGAGAAGAGAGCTCTTTGTGGCAGAACCTCACTAGGGACTGGCCTCTCTTTGGAGACTCCATTCTTTGCTTCTGTGACACCAGCTTTCCAATATTATTCTTCCTATGTTTTTAGCCACTTTGTCCTAATCTCTGTTTTGCTACCCAACTGTTAAGTATAGTCATGCCCCACATGACATTTCAATGATGGATCATGTTTGAGTATTTGTTGGTAGTCCTGTAAGATTAAAATGGAGCTGCAAAATTTCTATCCCTAGTATTTATACTGTACTTGTCTGTGTTTAAATACAATTTGCTTCAGTATTCAAAACGATAAAGTGCTGTACAGATTTGTAGCCTTGGAGCTTGTGTCAGCACATGTTGTGATGTTTACACAATGCACTTACCTAAGAAGGCGTTTCTCGGAAGTAAGCAGTGTATGATTGTATTGGAGTTTCTAAGGGCTCTGACTTTGGCCTTGGGCCCTCTGCAGTTTTCCCATTTCTGGGTTATGTCATCCACTTCTTTGCATGTAGTTACCACGTATGGGAATTATTCCCTAAAGTTCACAAGTTTTCCCAATTCCAGACCCCTACATCCTACTGCCCTGAAAATCTCTAATAGGCATGTATGTGGTGTTTTTCAGCTGCCAGTAATAAAAACCCAGTCAGTAAATAGGAAGTAAGGATCTGTGCATATAGAGCATCTGAAATCAAATGACAGCTGGCAATGATTAAGTGGCTCATCATTTCAGCAGTCATTTGACCTTTCCTTTATGGTCACAAGAGAGCTGCCTCAACTTATTCAATATTCAAGGCAAGAAGGCAGCGTATTCACTGGTTAGGGGTGTGTTACTTGGCCACTGCTAGCACAAGGAGACTTGGGAAAGCTAGCTTGTGGCCATCTCCCAGTGTGCTATATAAACCTCAAAGACACCTTGGACTCTAGAACCCAAAACCTGTTTCTCTTGATTCTAGTTTTTAATTGTTTTTGAAGAAACCTAGTCACTATCATCCATTACACCCTCAACTGCAGGTGTCCTGGTCCTTCCTACTTGGATTTTCTGCCTCCCATCTTGTGCTTTTCCAGTCCATTTTTCTTAATGAAGCGGCAGGAGGGAGGGTAGGGTGGGAAGAAGCACTATGTCCCTAAATCTGTATGTATGAAATGCATGACATTTATATACCTTAAATAAAATTTTAAAGCAAGATAATGTCATTTTCTTGCTTAAAACTGCCCTCAGCAAGATGTCTAAAATTCATATAACTGTGAGACAGTTTATGATCTACCCATCCTGGCCACAATTGTGACACTTCCCTAGCCTTGCTCCACACCTAGCTACACAAGCACTCTTTTGAACAACTGGAATTACTTGAGCACACACTGTACTCTCTCTTGACTCCAGATATTTGCATATGTATTTGCTCTGCTCTCAAGACTCTTGCCTTACTCCCCTGTGGCCTTACCTGCAACACACCTCATCTTTAGGATTACTCCCACTCATCCTGCTGGTCTTACTTCAACATAAGTTTCTCCAGCTAGGTTCCCTTCCTTTAGGTCCCCTCAACATACTCTGTTGCCCCCATTTAATGCACTGTAAAATCCCCTTTCTACTTGTCTTTTTAGCTTTAACCGGGCCTGTCATTTTCATCACTTTTGTTCTCTCTACAATCCCAAATACCTGGCACATTGTAGGTGCTCATCAGTATTTGTTGAATGACTCAGAAAAAAGTTATTTTGTCCATCTTTTATTAAAAAATTGCAAGCAACAAGAGGTCTTACCTTGTAGTTGTTATCATATGTAGTTGGTTATCAGGAAGGCCTTATTATGTTGTATTTTCTCTTCCTAGGACATCATGCATTTGACTCTTAATTAATGAAACTTTATCATGTTGAATTTTTTCTATGGAATTTGTTTGCCTGTGGTAAAGCATATGTACTTTGAATTCAAGAACTGTATAATGCATTTTATTTAGCTTTGAATTTTCAACTTAGCATGGTATCTTAGGATATTTAGGAGTGCTCAGCAACTGCCCCATTGAATTATTATTATTTTGTTATGCTAATCTGGTGAGCCTTTTCATCTCCTATTTTTTTTGTATGTCCTGGTTATAGATATTGAATTATTAATGATTACCTGAGTCACTAAGGGTAAACTACCATTGCCTCAGGCAAATTGAGACAGAGGGTCCCTTGAGTGTTTATAAGTATTTGTTCTCAGATGAATTAAAAATTGCCTCGGATTTAAAAAAATATGGAATTAGTAATTCTGTAAGCATGTATTTTTAAGCTGGAGGTTTTTAATAAGCCTTATGTTTTATGTACTAAACCAATAGTCCATGTCTAGAAATAAAAATACCTTCTCTAGTTAGAAAAATTATTTTATCTTCCTTGCTGTTGCTTTTTTATTTTTTTTAACAAGTTTACACATTGACTTTTTTTTTAAGATTTACTTATTTATTTATTTGAAAGTCAGAGTTACACAGAGAGAGAAGTAGAGGCAGAGAGAGAGGTCTTCCATCCGATGATTCACTCCCCAGTTGGCTGCATCTTCTGGAGCTGCGCTGATCCAAAGCCAGGAACCAGGAGCTTCTTCTGGGTCTCCCATGTAGGTGCAGGGGCCCAAGGACTTGGGCCATCTTCCACTGCTTTCCCAGGCCATAGCAGAGAGCTGGATGGGAAGTGGAGCAGCTGGAGCTCAAACCAGCGCCCATATGGGATGCCAGCACTGCAGGCGCCGACTTTACCTGCTGTGCCGCAGCACCGGACCCCTGTTGCTTTTTAAATCCATCTATTCAGCAACTTCACAAAAGTTTTTTATTTTGAATTAAATTTTTAATTTAAATTAAAAAAATTTTTTTTAATTTTTTATTTTGAATTAAATTTTTAAAAAAATTTATCTGAGAGGAAGAGAGACACGGAGAGACAGAAGGAGTTCTCCATCTGCTAGTTCACTCCCCAAATGCCCTCAATCACCAGGACTGGGCCAGGGCTGAAACCAGCAGTTTGAATGCAATCCCCAGTCTCCTGGTGGGTAGGAGGAACCCAGTTACTTGAGACATTACCATTACTGCTGCCTCCCAGGCTGTGCAGGAAGCTGGAATCAGGAGCCAAAGCCAAACCCAAGCAAGCACTCCTGACTTCAGCCTGGCCCAGCACTGGCTATTGGAGGCATTTGGGAAAGCAATCAGCAGGTAGATCTCTCTGTTTCTCTGTCTCCCTACTTTTCAAATAAATAAGATAAATAATTAAAAAATAGTTGTGTTGCAAAAGTAGAACCTTCTAGTAGTTTAATTTTTTTTGACAGAGTTAGACAGTAAGAAAGAAACAGAAAGGTCTTCCTTCTGTTGGTTCACCCCCCCTAAATGGCTGCAAATGCCGGAGCTATGCCGATCCGAAGCCAGGAGCCGGGCACTTCCTCCCGGTCTCCCTTGCGAGTACAGGGGCCCAAGCACTTGGGCCATTCTCCACTGCACTCCCAGGCCACAGCAGAGAGCTGGACTGGAAGAGGAGCAACCAGGGCTAAAACCCGGCGCCCATATGGGATGCCAGCGCCACAGGCGGAGGATTAACCAAGTGAGCCACGGCGCCGGCCCCTAATTTTCTATTAAATGTTTTAAAAATATAAACTATGTAATCTAAATGAAAGTCAATCTATGTACTTCAGAACTTTCACTTACTGTCCTGAAATTTCATGACAAAGGAAGCAAAAGTTGATTTTCTCCTTTGATTATGGTGTTGACCCAGAACTTGAGTTGTGGGAGTTGAAGGAGAAAGGAAGGACAGACAGAGTGGGGGTATTTGGAATAAAAGTCTTTCACTGTCTCCTAAGTTTTAAGCTATCAACTGTAATTTTTGTTAGGCTTGATGTTTCCTGAATGTTAATGAGAAAAAAATATAGGTATCCTAAAGATTATTTGATTTAGAATGATCTTTTTAAAGTAAAGCTAAAATGCATGATTTAAAAGTATTTATGTTTTAGGAAAAGTATCTTCAGTTTATTTTGCCTTCAGAAATCAGTGATATGAGGTAGACATTTGGTGCAGTAGTTAAGGTGCCACTAGGGGTGCATGCAACCCATTTTGGAATGCCTGGCTTGAGTCTTAGCTACTCCGCTTCTGATCCAGCTTCTTGCTAATGTGTACCCTAGGGGGCAACAAATGATGGCTTAAATACTTGGGTCCCTGCCACCCACATGGGAGACCCAGATTGAACTCCAGGCTCCTGGCTTCAGCCTGGCTCAGCCCTGGCTGTTGCAGGCATTTGAGAGTGAACTAGCAGATGGAAGAGCTTGCTTGTTAACTCTCTGTCTCTCTGTCACTCTTTACCTCTCTCACTCTCCACCCTTCTCTTTCTATGTGTGTCTCTTCCTTTCAAATAAAAACTGAAAGATAAGTAATTTTAAAAATTTATTTAAAAGGGCCGGCGCCGTGGCTCAATAGGCTAATCCTCTGCCTTGCGGCACCGGCACACGGGGTTCTAGTCCCGGTCGGGGCGCCGGATTCTGTCCCGGTTGCCCCTCTTCCAGTCCAGCTCTCTGCTATGGCCTGGGAGTGCAGTGGAGGATGGCCCAAGTGCTTGGGCCCTGTACCCGCACTGGAGACCAGGAGAAGCACCTGGTTCCTGCCATCGGATCAACACGGTGCGCCAGCCGCAGCAGCCATTGGGGGGTGAACCAATGGAAAAAGGAAGACCTTTCTCTCTGTCTCTCTCTCTCTCTATCTACTCTGCCTGTCAAATAAATAAATAAATAAATAATTTATTTAAAAGCTACAAGCCTTTTTTTTAAAGTATAACAATTTAGAAATTCAGTGAGAAATCAGTTGTTTAAATGTATTGTTCCTATACATTAACCAAATTTTTTGTTTTATATTATTTACCATCATAAAAATTCATATTTATGAATATGTATTAAATGTAACTAGAATATATAATGTATATTATAATGTAGTATAACTTTAGAATTTAAGGACTAATTGCCACTAATGTACTGATAAACTTATTTGTGTGTTTGGGTAATTCTTGTTTTTGTTTTTTTTTTAAAGATTTATTTATTTATTTGAAAGAGTTACAGAAGAGAGAGGGAGAGACAGAGCAAAGTCTTCCGTCTGCTGGTTCACTCCTCAAGTGGCTGCAATGGCCAGTATTGAGCCAGGCCAAGCCAGGAGCTTCATCAGTCTCCCTTGTGGGTGGTGGGTGGCCATCTTCTGCTGTTTTCCCAAGCCGTTAGCAGGGAGCTGGATCAGAAGTGCAGCAGCCAGGACATGAACTGGCACCCATGTGGGATGCTGGCGTTGCAGGCAGCAGCTTTACCCTACGTCTCAACACCAGCCCCTGATACCCTTTTTGGTAAAGTAAAAGTGACTGTCTCCTGAATAAATGAAAGAATTTCAAATACATACCAGAAGGTTAGGAATTTCTATAGTTTTTGTTAAAAGTATGATTTAGCTAATCAGGTATTAATATTAGCAACAGTGAATTTTAACTTTCAAGATATGATACTGTAGTTTTTAAGTAGTTAGATTTTAATATAGACTTGAATACATTCAGGACCACTCATTTCTATAGCATTACATTATGCTAAAGTATCATATAAAATAGTTAAATCTAAAGAGTCTACTATAAAGTATGATACAAAAAATCTGAGTAGAAATTATACATGTTTTCTAGTATCTTCACTTGCTAACAGTTACTTCAGAGTTTTTTAGTTGTATTTCAGGAAGTCTAATTGCTTAAGATATGGGCTGGTGTGTTTGTTTATACAGAACATATTGTTAAAAACACTTTCATAAGGAATTTTGGTCAAGGATCACAAACATATGAACAAATTTGACTCTGAAGTTACAGTATTACAAACAAAAGAATAACAAAATGTTCTGTGTAGGCTAGGGTTTGAATTTCTTTGACTTCTTAGAAATATAGATACCATACTTCAGAAACTGTCATATACTTCATAAATTGTCATTGCTACGAAGTATTCTGGTTTTGGCTTAGGTAATTTCATATTTATATTGTGTTAGCAATTGTCTTACTAAATAATGGAATTGAAATTCAATACATACTTAAATAATCCATAAGTTCATTTATAAATACTTTTACATTTTGTTTTCTCACCTGTAGATTTGTGTTCGCTCTTTTCAAACACGTGGTATTGTTCATGTTTTGAAGCCAAAATGTGTGTATTTCTTCGGTTATCCTTCATTCAACTACAGTCATCCACATCACTTGCTGAAAACGACCGCTGGTAAGTATGATCTCAAGATAACATATATAAAGTAATGTGTTATATCTTATTCAGTACTTAGTAATCAAAGATTCATCAAAGTAAAAAATGCTGGCCCTGAACCCCACGTACTTCTGCCCTGACTCTCTCCATGTCTATCCATTACCCATTTTCTTTTTTCTTGCCTCCACTCCTACACTCCCAGCCCCTAACTTCTCCTTCCCCTGTCACCTTTCACATACTTTTCTTAATACTTGTGTCTTCATAATGTTAGAATTGGGTTGTGTTGGGCCATCTATTCTTTATCATCTGACTCATCTAAATGCAATAGTTAGCATTGATATGACCTTCTCAGTCAACATAAATCATAGACTTAATAGAAGTGTCTTTGTGTCATTGTACACACCATGGTATTGTTTGGTGAATGAAGCACTTAATCTGTGATTTTAACATGGTCTGATGAAACCAGTCTTAAACACTCCTGAACAGAAAGTTTCCTGCTATTATGCTTTACTTACCTTTTGCCCAACTTTTTCTACTCTCTATAAAGAACTTGAAGATTGATTTGGCAAGGGCATAAGAACATTTTTTTCTGATGTTCTGTTTAAAACCCTGATAAAGGACCCTAGACTTCTGTTATATGGCTAAGCTTTGGACAGATAATAGGGCCTTACTCTGTGCTCACAGGGAAAAATAGGGAATTCCGTGCAGATATCACCCTTGAGTTCAATTTCTCCATGCTTTTTTTTTTTTTTTAAGATTTATTTATTTTTTTGAAAGTCAGAGTTACACAGAGAGAGAAGAAGAGGCAGAGAGAAAGAGAGGTCTTCCATCTGCTGGTTCACCTCCAAATTGGCTGCAACAGCCAGAGCTGTGCCAATCTGAAGCCAGGAGCCAGGAGCTTCTTCCAGGTCTCCCACATGGGTTCAGAGGCCCAAGGACTTGGGCCATCTTGTACTGCTTTCCCAGGCCATAGCAGAGAGCTGGATCAGAAGTGGAGCAGCCAGGTCTTAAATCGGTGCCCATATGGGATGCCGGCACTGCAGGTGGTGGCTTTATCTGCTTTGCCACAGTGCCAGCCCCTCCATGCTTTTTTTTTTTTTTTTTTAAGATTTATTTACTTATTGAAAGGCAGAATTACAGAGAGAGAGAGAGACAGAGACAGAGACAGAGAGACAGGTCTTCCATCCGCTGGTTCACTCCCCAAATGGCTGCAATAACTGGAATTGGGCCATTCTGAAGCCAGGAGCCAGGTGCTTCTTCCTGGGTCTCCCACATGGGTGCAGGGGCCCAAGCACTTGGGCCATCTTCAACTGCTTTCCCAGGCCACAGCAGAGAACTGAATAACTGGATTAGAAGTGGAACAGCTGGGTCTCGAGCTGGTGCCCACATAGGCTGCCAACACTGCAGGTGGCAGCTTTACCTGCTATGCCGCAGAGCTGGCCCCTCCATGTTTTTTATCTGCCTTCCTTTACCTCAGCCTAAGGCATGTAAACCTTATTTTCACTTTTTTTAAAAAATATTTGTATTTTTTAAAAGTTAATTTTGTTGTTGTTGTTGTTGGGCTAGAAGCTATTCAAACAGAAACTCCAGCTTCCTTCTACAGCCTCTGATCATTTATCATGACCTTTGAGTTCCTGGATCCACTAATTCCAGGCTACTTGGGTTCCTGGTTTGCCAGTTTCTAGCTGTGTAACTGAGCAAGTTATTTAAGTTTTCTCAGTTTCATCATTTTCAAAATGGAAGCATTCATAATATTTAGCTCATTGTATAATAAGAATTTATTCATTCAACAACAGATACTTATTGATCGCCTGCTATGTGCCAAGGCAGTAGTTGAGGTAGCTGGGATATATCAATAATCAAAACAAAGATCCTTATACCTGGGTGGATTAAATAAATTAAAATATGTGAAGTATTTAGTACATACTTCCTCTAGACACTCATATTCTCTCTCTCTCTCTCTCGTTGTCCTGGCTCCAGTGCTCAACACTGATCACTGTTTTGATTTCTTTTTTTTAAAGATTCCTGTTTTTTTAAGATTGATTTATTTATTTGAAAGGCACAGTTACAGAGAGAGCAAAAATCTTCAATCTATTGGTTCACTCTCCAGATGGCTACAACAGCCAACTATAGTCCAGGCCACAGCCAGGAGCCTGGAACACCATTCAGGTCTCCCACATGGGTAGCAAGAGCCCAACCAAGCACTTAAGTGTTCTTCTGCTGCTTTCCTAGGTGCCTTAGCAAGGAGCTAGATTGGAAGTAGAGCAGCTGAAACTCAAATTGGCATTGCAGGCAACAGCTTGACCCATTGCATCAATGCCAGCCTTGATCATTCTTCATCTTGTGTGTTTTTCCCTCTTTTTTAAAAAAAGATTTATTTATTTGAAAGAGCAACAGAGAGGGAGGAGAGACAGAGAAGAGGGATCTTATATCGTCTGGTTCACTTCCCAAATGATCTCAACAGCCAATCTCGGCCAGGCTGAAACCAGGAGCCAAGAAATCCATCCTAGTCTCCCACATACTTGACAGGGGCCCAAGTACTTGGGCCATCTTTTGCCACCTTCCCAGGCAGGTTAGCAGTAAGCTGGATAAAAAAAAGAGTAGCTGGGGCTTGAACTAGCAGTCTGATGTGGGATGCCAGTGTTGCAAGTGGTGGCCCAACATGTTGCACAACCCAGGCCCCTGTTTCTCTCCTAAATTTCAGTCTTTTGTAGGATCCTATCCTTGGCCCTCCCATCTTCTTGTGTCACTTTTACAGATATACCTTCACCTACTACATATTGAACGTTCTGAATCTGTAGCTCTCAGACCTCACCAATTGTTGCTATGTATCTCCATTTCAATATCGCATGTATAACTCAAACTCCTCAAACTCAGTTTTATACAAATTTCCTCTTCTTCCTGTATTGCTTAAATCAATGAGTCAAGCTGGAAACCTGTAGTCAGCGTGACTCCTCTCTCACATCATATTGTTTACCAAAACCTGATCAATTTTACATTTCATACAAGGGATCTTCTAGAAGTTCACGGAAATTGTGCATTATCAAAAATCATGCATCAGTTTCAAAAATTGTGGCACCAAAACAGCCTTATCTGTTCAGTCCATTTTCCACAAACTTTATGAACTACCTTCTTATGTTTCTTAAATTTGTCTTATCCTTTTCAGTAAGCTTTGAAAAATATCTAAAAATAAGCTCCAAACCACATCTGAATGTACTTTATGTAAGGATATACTCCGTACTTTGGTTTCTTACCTTCAGTAGACCCTTGCTTCCCCTGCCTCATTTTGCTTCTGCCATTCCCTTCCCAACCTTATCCACCATGCACAGATTTTTTTTTTCCTGAAATGATAGGCTTAAAGTCACAGATCTGATATTGTAGATGGGACTCTGTGTTGTTGTTGTTGTTGTTTTCCCATGATTGATTTACTTATTTGAAAGGCAGAATTAGAGGAAGAGTCAGGGAGAGGGAGAGATATCTTATATCTGCTGGTTTACTCTCCCAAATGATCACAACAGCCAGGGCTGGGTCAGGCCAAAACCAGGAGCCTGGAACTCCCTCCAGTTTCTTACATAGGTGGTAAAGGTCCAAGCACTTGGGCTATCTTGCACTGCTTTCCCAGGCTCATTAGCAGGTACTTGGATTGGAAGCCAGAGCACCTGGGACTCACACTAGTGCTCATATGGGATAATGGCGTTAAAGGTAGCAGTGCCACATGTCTGACTCTTGTATCAGTTATTGCTGAATTATATTTTTTTTATTTATTTATTTATTTATTTATTTTTTTATTTTTTTGACAGGCAGAGTGGACAGTGAGAGAGAGAGACAGAGAGAAAGGTCTTCCTTTGCCGTTGGTTCACCCTCCAATGGCCGCCGCGGCCAGCGCGCTGCGGCCGGCGCACCGCGCTGATCCGATGGCAGGAGCCAGGAGCCAGGTGCTTTTCCTGGTCTCCCATGGGGTGCAGGGCCCAAGCACCTGGGCCATCCTCCACTGCACTCCCTGGCCACAGCAGAGGGCTGGCCTGGAAGAGGGGCAACCGGGACAGAATCCGGCGCCCCGACCGGGACTAGAACCCGGTGTGCCGGCGCCGCTAGGCGGAGGATTAGCCTAGTGAGCCGCGGCGCCGGCCTTATTGCTGAATTATAAACTACCCCACAATTTAGTGGATAAAACAGTGGTGATTACTTCTAAGGCTTCTGTGGGTTGGCTAGGTGGTTCTTCTGCTGGTTTCACCTGGGCTCACTAAATTGACTGCTTTCTAGAGGATCACCTGGATGGAAGATCCAAAGTGGTCTCACTCACGTGGCTGACAATTGATACTGATTTTCAGCTGGGGCATCTCATGGCTCATCTCCATGGCATTTCATATTCTAATAAAATAGATCGGTGTCCCTGCGTGGAGATCTCAGAGCAGCATTCCAAAAGGTGAAGGTAGAAGTTGTGAGGATCTTTGAGGCCCCTAGGCTCCTGAACTTGCACAACTTCACTTCTGCTGTTTTGTTTGTCCAAAACAAGTCACAGGCTAGCACAGGTTTAAGAAGTGGCGAAATGACTCTACCTCTAGTTGGGACAGTTGCAAAGAATTTGACTATATTAATTTACTACTGCCTCCTGATAACCCTTAGGATAAGCTCCAAACACCTCAGCCTTTCCAAATATGGACTGATTTCTTGCCACATATGCTATCCTCCTCAGCCGTATAAAAACTGTTGTTCCTTGATCCGACTTTGCACCATCATATTTCCAGTTTCTTGCTGTTCTTTCACAATATTGCTTTGTATAAGGTGCCATGGTGTATTTACTGGTCATTTTTTGGTTACTTGTATTGATTTCTGTTCTTCAGTATAACCCTGTGGTAACCACTCTTGAGCACAAACTTTGTGTACCTCTTTAATTATTTCCTTAGATGAAAAGTCTTAAAAGTGGAACTACTTATGGAGTCAAAGATGTGGACTTCAAAAAAAATTTCTTTTAAGGTTTTTGATACTTAATGACAAACTCCTTTTCAGAAAGACTCCAGTTTATACTCTGAGCAGCAGACTGTGAGAGAGCCCAACTTACTAGAGAGGAAATAAGAGGTACCTAATATATCCATATAAAAATATATTTCTTTACTATTATCTCCTCTTCTTTATTAAAGAAAATTTTACAGTTTGATCAATTTGTTATATATTTTATAAGCAAACATATTTAATAGCAGACTAAAAATAAAGGAGGACTACTGAACAGATTCAAAGCCGTTTTTTAACTTAGAAAAGTAAAAGCATCCATTCATGCCTTCTGTTGCCCAAAAAATCTTTCTCTTTTGGGTAAAGGGGCAGAAAGAGGAAAGAAGTTTTAGGGATAAGTGGTCAGAACATAGTTGGAACATACAAGAATTTTCCATCATGTCTGCTATAGAACAGTTTGATTTTTAACCACTAGTGACAAGAATAGTTGTGTAAAGTCAAAAGAGAATTGAGAGCAAGCTGTAAATGGTTATTACAGTTTCATAATGAAACAAGAATATTCAGCTGGATCTCTATGTAATTTTTGTTCTATTTTCTGTTCATTACAGTTGTTTCAAAATCTCATTAAGTTATTAGTAGAGCCTCCCATAGCCCTGTAAAAGAATATTATTTTGGAAATTGGAAAATATAAGTTCTATGGCAGTGTCAGTACATCTGTGTCATGGAATAACTAATTTAAATCTCTGATAGTTATAAATAATGGCTATGCTTTTAAAAGTTATAAAATATGTGTATTTGTAAGATAGAGCCATTTCAGCCTCTGCTTGAAAGCATTATTTGAATTTAGATGTAAAATCATCTATTAGTAATGAATTACATATTTAATAAAATCATTTTTCATTTGTTTTTGAAGCTCTACATGGACAGATTGTTCAGTTCAAACTCTCAGACATTGGAGAAGGGATTAGAGAAGTAACTGTTAAAGAATGGTAAGTTAATCTGAAAAAAATTTTTATATAAATTTAAAATAATCAATTTAAATTGAGAAACTTTTTTACATAATATATGATGCTTTTATCAGAGCAATCAGGTGCAGTTACTTTGTGTTGACAATACTCTGGTGAAAATGTATCATGTATCAAGACATTTTATATGGTTTCTTAATAACTTTTGTTTTGTTTTGTTTTGTTTTTTAATCCATTTTCTGTCCACCCCTCACTTTAACCTGAAAAGAGAAATGAATCACAGTACTGTCATTGTGGTGCAGCAGGTAGAGCTGCTGCCTGCAAGGCTGGCATTCCATGTGGGTGCTGGTTCATATCCCAGGTACTCTGCATCCAATCCAGCTCTCTGCTAATAGCCTGGGGAAAGCAGTGGAAGGTGGCCCAAGTGTTTGGGTCCTGCCACCCATGTGGAAGACCTGGATGAAGCTCTGGGCTTCTACATGGCCCAGCAGTAGCCATTGTGGCCATCTGGGAGTGAACCAGTAGATGGAAGATCTCCCTCTCTAATTCTGACCTTCAAAATAATTAAATAAATCTTTTTTTTAAAAAAAGAGAGAATTGAATCTCTGATAGATAATAAATTGTTTCAAAATCATGTCTTTAGAAGCATTTAATGTATGAATGTACAGTTTCCTTCCAAACTATGTTAATATCATCATCTAATCTACGCTCTCTTTACAATACTGAAAATGACTTTAGTAAAAATGGATATTTGACTTACATTATGTTATGAGTATGCCTGTTTGTTTAGAGAATGGCCAAATAACAAAAGGCATGAATCAAAAAATAATTTTTGAGAACAAAAAAATGTGGCCGGCTCTGCGGCTCAATAGGCTAATCCTCCGCCTTGTGGCGCCAGCACACCAGGTTCTAGTCCCGGTTGGGGCGCCAGATTCTGTCCCGGTTGCCCCTCTTCCAGGCTAGCTCTCTGCTATGGCCCGGGAGTGCAGTGGAGGATGGCCCAAGTGCTTGGGCCCTGCACCCCATGGGAGACCAGGAGAAGCACTGGCTCCTGGTTTTGGATCAGCGTGGTACGCTGGCCACAGCACACAGGCTGCAGTGGCCATTGGAGGGTGAACCAACGGCAAAGGAAGACCTTTCTCTCTCTCTCTCTCTCTCTCTCACTGTCCACTCTGCCTGTTAAAAAAAAAAAAAAAAACTCAAAATATGGGCCTGTAACAAAAATAAAAAGTCCGTTACCCCCTTAGTCAGTCTCTACCCCTTTTCTTTCTTTCACTTTGTGGAAGAAAAACATTTCTTCATGCTGAACTAAGTTTTAAAGGTTTTAAAAGTAACAATTTACAATAAGAGATACTTTCCTTTCATAGCCCTCAATACGTATTTTTCTTTATTTTAGTTAATTGACTTATTTAATTGAAAGGCACAGTGGCAGAGAGAGAGAGGTCTTCCATCATCTAGTTATTCCCCAAACTCCTGCAACAATTGGGGCTGGACAAAGTCAAACCCAGGAATCCCATGCAGGTCTCCCACATGGGTGGCAGGAGTCCAAACACTTGCAGCAACATCTGCTGCTTCCCAGGTATGTTAGCAGGGAGCTGGGTGGAAGTGGAGCATCTAGGGCTTGAACTAGCATTCCAATATGAGATGCTGATGTCGCAAGCTGTGCCTTAGCATGCTGTGCAACAATGCTAGCCCCTCCTTCCATAGTTTTTTAATGTTAAAGACCCTTTTGAGAATCTGATTCTGGGACTGGCATTTGGTGCAGAAGGTAAGATGCCACTTGGGATACCTGCATGTTGTGGCAGAGTGCCTGGGTTCCAGTCCCAGCTCTGCTTCCAATTCTAGCTTCCTGCTAATGTGCACCCTTGGAAGCAGCAGGTGATGGCTCAAGTACTTGGGTCGCTGCCACCACATGGGAGTTCCAGGCTCCTGGATTCTTGGCCCAGCCCTGGCTGTTGTGCTCACTTGTTCTCTCTCTCTCTTTTTCTCTCTCTCTCTCTCTTCCCTTCTCTTTCTCTCTGCCTTTCACATAAGTAGAAGGAAGTAGGAAGGAATTATATTCAGCCTCCTGAACATTTTTTCTTGCACTTGTAAGTTAGAGAAGAACTGTAACAACATAAACATACCTTACGATTTAATCTGTAGTGTGTTATGGGATTGTGGAAAGAACAATGGAAGAGAGGAGGCTGACTGTAAACTTATTAACTGTTTTACCTGTGTTCTCTACTTTTACCTGTGTTGACTATTAGTCAGTGCCTCTTATTTTTTTTTTTAAATGTTCATTTATTTTCATCTAGTTGAAAGACAGTAATAGAGAGAGGGAAAGAGAGAAAGCTCATCCATCCTCTGGTTTACTCCCCTGAAACCTAATGTTCACAATAGTCAGGGCTGAGCCAGGCCAGAGCTAGGGCCAGGAGCTCCATCCAGGTCTCCCATGTGGGTGGCAGGAGCCCAAGCACTGGAGTGATCATCTCTTGCCTCCCAGCATGCATTAGAAAGAAGCTATATTGGAAGTTGAAAATCTGGGACTTAAACCAGCACCCGTATAGGATGCTGGCACCACAGGTGGAGGCTTAGCCTATGTCACCACAGAGCTGGCCCCAATAACTTCATTCTTAATGAAATATAATAGGTTTTAAATAAGAAATAAGCCATTTAATTCATTTTTCAGAAGGCCTTTAAGAAATATTGAGTTTTCTTGAATTTTGTGTTTATTCTCTAACTTAGTGCCTGTAAATAATTCAAGGGAAAGAAGTATTTCCTTGGTAAAATTCTAAAAAAATGGAATTCTGTCAGTAGAGTAGCCTGAGAATAGAAATTTGAATATTTAGGGAATCATAACTTAATAAAAGGTAATGTCATTTTACATCAAGGACAGTAAAATCTCATTTATTCTTAGAAAGTCTAGGAGCAAATACATGGATAAAGAAGAAAAATATTGAGGCCAGCGCTGTGGTGTAGTGGGTAAAGCTGCCGCCCACAGTGCTGGCATCCCATATAGGCGCCGGTTGAAGCCCATATGGGATGCCAGCGGGTTAAAGCCCTAGCTTGCAGCACTGGCATCCCACATGGACGCTAGTTTGAGTCCCAGCCGCTCCACTTCTGATCCAGCTCTCTGCTATGCCTGAGAAAGCAGTAGAAGATGGCCCAAGTTCTTGGGCACCTGCACCTGCATGGGAGACCTGGAGGAAGCTCCTGGCTTCTGGCTTCAGATTGGCACAGCTCTGGCCGTTAAGGCCATCTGGGGAGTGAACCATCAGATGGAAGACCTCTCTCTCTCTCTCTCTCTCTGCCTTTCAGATAAATAAATAAATCTTAAAAAAAGAAGAAGAAAAACATTTAGATTTCAAAAACCTTTGACAAGTTAAACAAAATTTGGATTCTATTTGTGCTTTTGTTTTAAAGTCTATCTTATCTGATGATATTGTAGTTACTCCCCCTCTCTTTTTTGGTTACTACTTTCATTTCATATCTTTTCCCCATCATTTTTGCTTCTAACTAACCTTTTTTTTTCTCTGAAATTTTATTTCTACTTTGAATCTAAAGTATATATTTCAAATACAATATATAGTTGAATTACTTTTTAAAAAAACATTCTGTCAATCTTTGCCGTTTTTATTGGAATGTTAAAACCATTTGCATTTTTTTAAGAGAATTAATTTATTTATTTGAAAGACAGAGTTACAGAGAGAGATAGAGCCAGAGAGAGAGAGAGGTCTTCCATTTTGCTGGTTTACTCCCCAGATGGCCGTATATCCTGCGACATCCAGAGCTGAGCTGATCCGAAACCAGGAGCCAGGAGCTTCTTCCGGGTCTCCCACGCAGGTGCAGGGGCCCAAAGATCTGGGCCATCTTCTACTGCTTTCCCAGGTCATAGCAGAGAGCTCGATTGGAAGTGGAGCAGCTGGAGCTTGAACTGTCACCTGTATGGTATGCTGGTGCTGCAGGCTGGGGCTTTAACCCACTGCACCACAGCGCCGGCCCCACCATTTACATTTAATGTAATGACTGATAAAGTAAGGCTTATCTGAATTTTGCTGTTGGTTTCGTATGTTTTATGTATTTCCCTCCATTCCCTTTTTTGTGTCAGGTAGATATTTATAATGTACCACTTTTATTCCCTAGGTTTTTAAAAAATGATTTGCTTACGGTTACCCTAAAGATTATAGTTAACATTATAAATAATGCAGACTGGATTAATGTCAATTAATAGTTTATAAAAATCTTGCTCTAAGATAGTTCCTTCCTCTCAATCCAGCCTTTTACTATTATTCTCATTTATAGCCCATCTTTAAACATTCTAAAGCTGTCATTATAGTTTTGTATTACTTTATGCAGTTGTCATATAAATCAAGTAGAATGAAAACAAATTTTAAAGAAAATATATTTACATTTTTTATTTAGTCATGAAGTTATCTTAACTGGTACTCTTCATGCCCTTTTGTGGATTTGAATTACTGACTAATGTATTCATTCCAGCCTGAAATATTTTTCTTAGTGTTTCTTGCAGGGCAAATGTACTCAGGATGAATTTTATGTTTCAATTTAGCTGGGAATGCATTTTTACTTAAGTTTTCAAGAATAGTTTTACTAGATATGATTCTTGAATGACAGTATTTTCCTTTCAGTACATCATTCAAGTCATTCAACTGCATTCTGGCCTTCATGGTTTCTGATTAGTAATCATCTGTTAATCAGGGCAGGCATTTGGACATGTGATTAAGATATCAGGATTCCTGCATTCCATATCATATTGCCTGGTTTGAGTCTCAGCTTTGCTTGTATTCCAGCTTCCTGCTAATGTGCTCCCTGGGAGGCAGCAGGTGACAGTTCAAGTACTTGGGTCCCTGCCACCCAGATGGCACACCCAGATTTATTTCCAGGCTCCTGGCTTCAGCCCAGTCAAGCCCTGGCTGTTAGGGGCTTTTGGGGAGTGAACCAGCAGATGGAAAATCTTCTATTTTCTCCTCTCCTCTCTTCTCCTCTTTTTCTCCCTCTGTCTCTGTCTCCATCCCTCCATCCCC